GCATGTCAAGTTCAGGGGTGGAAATCTATTGTCAAAAATGATAAGAATACCCACCTGATTTCAAAAATCAATCTCAGCTTATCAAGACAGTATGCAAATGGAAGGGTAAATAAGATTTTTACCCTTCAACACATCCCCGTCATGTATTGGGAACATCTCCCGATGTGGGGCAGCCCCACCTGAAGGGATGAGAGATCCATCATATGGATGGCCGAACCCTGCAGGAAGGTAGGGCAAAATTTCAAAATTTTCTCTCCCATCTGGGAATCGCATTCCCTTATTTTAGAAAACTGCCATTTCAAGGATCAATCTTGAACCAAACCGGACCAGATCTGAAACCAAAAGGGAGGAGAGGGATATACCTGATATCCCAATGAAGGTGTTCACGCCCAAGGAAAAGACCAAAAACTGCTTCCATTGAAGATGACACAGTGTGAGGTGAAGCAGAATCAGTAGGACGACTCTTCAGCAAGAACCGAACTCTTCAGCAAGAATGGGGTAGAGGGATGGTGAGCATGACTTCAGATTGCTTCTTCTACCAAGAAGCAATATYAAGAACAATTCTTGATCACTCCCACAAGTGGAGATCGAACTGGGTAGGGGCGGCAAGAACATGGAAGAACTCTATAGACTGCTATAATGTTTATTGTGTGTTTTGCATGTTCGCCCTACTCTCTTATTTATAGCCTTAAAGAGACAACCTCGTAATCTGATTAGGAGTTTCCTGATCCAAATCTTTATTTGGATATGGACTCTTTAAGTGGGTAGGACTTATCTTCTTATCCTTATTTGATGATCCAAACCCAAATTTGCCCCTATTTAATTAATCTAATTAACCTAGTTCGAATTGGGCTTTAGGCCCATTAAGTTTATGTGCTCACTTAACCTCTTAACCTGCTGCCCAGTTGGCTCTCCTTGTATGGCGTGGGACCCAAACATTGATCTACACATCAGCCACATGGGTTCAGCCTAGCCTTTGTTACAAGGCCTTGCCGAATTCACTGTAGGAGACAATGAACCCCTGAGTCCATCACCATGGGCTCTTAATGGGCCCAACATTTACACTAAATGGTCATTGGGTCCAACCACCTTATGAAAACYCAAGGACTGTGGGCAKATGCAAGATTAGCCCATCAGGTATTACCCTCAATGGTCTTACACTTAACCTCTCAGCCCATAATGATCAACCATTGCCCGACAAGAGAGGACCTCTCCCTCATTTGCAAGGAACAGTGCTGCACTCTCTACTCACATGGATCCCGAGAATTAAAACCTTTTGCAAACATTTTGAAACCATAATATGTATATATGTATATCTTTATATAAATATATTTTGCAAAACAAATTTCAATGGTTGAAATCAAATGCCGGCAGTTTTACATTTCCATCAGAGAGAGTGCATACCTGATCATTCACTGTCCGACAAAGGGGCTGATCCTGTCACTATGATCACCCACTCAGATGAATTCTCGGACTCTCCCAACATATCCAGGTTTTGAACCCCTCTAAGGATCTCACTGATTGGCATATCAAAGATAGCCCAATCCAACACCTAGTGCACTACCATAATCAAGTCAAGGAGTCAAGTGTAATATTCTAGTTTTGCCCATCTATATCCAAGGTCTAGGGCAATACTAAAATTTCAGTCTGGTTCAGGGTTTCAAGAAAACTCACACTGCATGTACCTTAGGTCTCACCCTGGCAGGTAAGACAAGCCACCCCAACCAACTTGGTGGTACATCAGTGTCTACCTTGACAGGATAAATCTCCCCAAATCTATTCAACGGCTGTGAAGATTCTAAACTAACACGAGTCTCATTAAGTGTCCAGTTTAAGGGTATTACACAGAAACACACCACAATGACATGAATCAATTATGTACTTTATTCATTTACAATAAATGTCAAAAGGTACATCAATTTGATTGGAGCTAAGGGCATAATTGTCTAACAGCCCCTTGTGGGGCAGAGATGTGATCACCACCAAACCCCACTCCATGTCCGTTTGACTGCCATTTGCATACATAGATTGCCATTTAATCCCTACCATATTGTCACAGGGCTAGTCGTGCAGGCCCCGTGCGGCACTCGAATGTGACGAGTAAGCCTAAGAAAGAAGCAACAACACAAGAAAAGGCAACAAGATGGCACATGAATTAGTCAAAAGGCTATTTGTATTGCATTAATGGATGGCAAGCACAAGCATACAGTTTAGTGTCGAGGGGATCTTATGCTTAACCTTTACACGCTACTGATTCACTCGACTACCTACCTCCCCTCAAAGAGTACATTAAGCTTTTGGGAGAGTGACAAAAGGAAACATCAAAATGGTGGAAAATCATACTAAGTAATTACAATAATGCCACTGGTAGTCCCCCCTTACAAGATACATGCATAGCTCACCCCTGACACACATGATGGCACTATGAAGGCACGCTAATGACCTGGTGGAAGGTGCTTGATGATACAGTGAAGGAGTCACTTGTGACAGCCTCCCCCACTCAATTTGATCTACGTCCTCAGAGATCGGCTTCTACTGGTCCCTTGGAGTTACTGATGTGGAAGGGAGGTTCTCTAGTTGTTCTATGAACCGGCTGTTGTCCAAGGCTGAGGTGCATATTTGGGTGGTATGGTTGGGATGGCTTGTTCTGTTGGGAGTTCCTATGGTTAAGTCCATTCTAGGCGGCCTCAAGGTATGATACTGGCTGGTTCAATTTGGTTGTAGGGAAGGTTTGGGCCAGGTAAGGGTCAAGATGATAGTTTGGATTACTGGGGTGTTGGTTCCCATGCATTTTTTCCCAAGGATGGCAGCTCACTATGTTACTATGTGGTTCGGCTTGAGGAATGGTGAGAATGTGATTCCTATATGGTTTGGGTGGTACTCGTTCTCTCCGATGATTGAGGTAGTAGGTGTGGCTATAGTTGAAGTTGGCCTTGGGTCTTCTCTTGGGCCCATTAGTTGCGGGTGTATGCGGCTTCTGCTGTGAAAGTGGCTTCTGTTGATGTTGGTGCTAATGTTAACGTTGACGTTGGTGCTGGAACGGCTTTGGGGGAGACTTCTTCTTAGTGATGACTTCCCAACTCGTTCTGGTGCTGATGTGAGTTGTTGGAGTGGGGGTCTTCTTTGTCGGCACGACACTGGCTTCGTGGTTGCTTGTTTCTTGGTACAGTTGTAGGGTTGAAAGCTACTTCCCATGTACCTAGAGGGCTGATGTCACTGGGATCATGCATGGAGAATGCTCGTCCAAGATGAGTAAATGGTCAAGGTGTGGCATGAGGGATGCTTCTGCCTATATCAGGAACTCCACTCCAAGGACAACTTGAAAATCATCCAAGTGAACCACATATAAGTTTACTTTGCCTTTCCGCGGTCCCACTTGTAGGTCTACTTCACGGGCCATTCCTTCTACTACCTTGGCCCCCGACTTGACGGCCTTGATCCACCCTGTTTGTTTGGTAGTGGTCAAGCCGAATCGCTTTGCCTCCGCAAGTGAGATGAAGTTGTGGGTGGCCCTAGTGTCCACCAATGCTTGGGTCGGCCTCCTGCCGAGGGTGATGTGTACATATTTCAGCCCCTTGTAAGCTTTGGTGGGCCGCTTGGATGTGGCCTCTTTCTTTACCATGGCATTTATAAGTTGGAGGGCAGCTACTCTTGGTGCCGGTGTGGGCTTCTCCTCATCACTCTCTTCATCATCACTGAGTTTGGCAATGAGGGCATTGATTTTCTTCCGCATGGGACAGTCGCTAGTCTAGTGCTTTTCATTGCAAAATGTAACAAGGTGAGGGAGGAATCGTAGGTCTCCTAGTGTACAGGTGGCCTTGATAGCTTTGGGCTCTTTGTGGCTTCATCCCTTGTTGATAATTGTTAGGCTTGTTAGTGTGTACTGGTTTCTCCTATGTAGAGGTCACTTGTTGATCTCCCCCACTCAAACTCATGCTATGTGGGCTGGGGGCTTTTGGTCTTTTTCATCAGGTGTCCTCAGATCAATAAATTGCTCAGCTACGGCCATGGCTGTGATGAGGTCCTTCATACCACGCTGTTGAAGTTCAAGCTCAGCCCGTGGCTTGAGACCGTCCATGAAATTGAACAAGAGGTCCTTGTTTGACATGTCAGAGATCTCAAGCGTTAAGGTCGAAAATTCTTTAACGTAGTCATGTAGCGATTCTTGATGTCTAAGGTTCTTCGTTCTTCTACACGCCAGGTACTCTACGTTCTCAAGGTAGAATTGACGCTTGATCTCATGCTTGAATCCAGCCCATGTGTCAATGGTGCGGGTGCCATGTTCAATATCTTGACAACACCTATGCCACCATAATATTGCAATATCATTCAAATACATAGCGGCTGCATGTACCTGATTTTGGTTGTCAATAATGCCAGCGGTAGAGAAATATTGTTTTAGTTGCCACAAGAAATTGTCAAGCTCCCTAGCATCCCAAGCGCCCGAGTAGGGTGTTGGCTCACAGATCTTGATGTGCATGGGAGATAGGGTGGCTGAAGTGCTAGTAGAGTTGGCTACCGCCCCTTTTAGGAGAGTCATCTCATCTCTCATCTCGTCTAATTGTGCTTGAAATCTGTCTAGCATGCCCTATAGGCTACTTTGGTAAGGCCCCGCTCCCGAGCATTGTAAGGTGGTGTGCATCTCTTTGAAGGCGTCATTGAATAGCCCTTCTAGTTCCACCACCGCATTCTCAACAGTCTCCAGGCTGTGGTGGAGTTCATCGATCCGATCTCTGGTTTCACCTATTGTTGCCTCGTAAAGTAGGATGTGCATGTCCATGCTAGCTAGTTGGTCGACTGATTTGTCACGCTTGTTAACTTTAATTGTGCGGCCCTTTGCAGCTTGTCCTGGCGGGTTTGTCGAGTCGAGCCTCATCGGTGTTGTGGGCTTGACGCAGCCCATATAATATATCATCAACAATATCACGGTCGCTCTTCATTGTGTTGAATATATCATCAACAATGTTCAAGGTGCGTGTAGGAGCTCTTACTCTGATACTAACTGTTACGAGACTAATCGCGTGTGCCCGTGCAATACTCGAATGTTACGAGGAGATTTTATCYTTAACATAGGTTTTTGGGGAATGACAAAGGAAACATTATAATAATGCCATTGACAATCTTACGAGAAGATTGCATATCGACACCGACGATTAAAAGACAGCACACATGATACAGAATGAAGGACATGTAGCAATTCGAATTTTATAAGACCGTTGTAAGAATCGTGGTCGTTATTCTGCAATCCTTCACACGCTCTATCCTCGCATGCAATTCATTTTTTTAACGGTCTGAAAAGATCATCGAGTAATTTCTATACCAGAGTTGGTGTTTTCCCCTCTCACTATATATAGTTCGGGGCAAGAGTAAGAAGAGTTCTCGCTTCGGAGAAGAGCGATGGGAGAGGGGGTGAGAGAGGGTTTCAGATTTTGCCTCTTTTTGTAAACAATCTCTGTTCTTATTTTATCTGGGATTCTGCGAAGGATTCGCTCGTTTTCAAGGGCTTTTAGGGTTCTTGCTCTCGATAATTTCCGTAATTATTAATGCGGAGGAAACGATTGATTACTGGATTTTCGTGTTTGTGTGGGTAAACTTAGCATATATTTTTTGAAATGTTTTCGCCCACAGTTTAGGTTTTGATTGAAGATATGGACTCGGAAGATGCCGATCTTTTGGATGACGGAGGCGGTGGAGGGCTATCGCTGGTGGTGCATCGTCGGTTTCATGCTATGCTCGATTTGCCTCGAGGCCGTAACGGACAGCGGGGATAGATCGAGGGGCGAAGCTGCAATGCGGGCATGAATTTTATCTCGGTATGTATGAAGAGATTGAATTATTTTGAGGAGAATTATTATTTTCATTGCGACTGATGAACTGTTGAGGTACATATACGAGTTTAGCATGCACGTTGAAGCGAAAATGCGTTTTAGATTTTATGTGATGCCGGTTGAGACTAGAGAGCTAAATTTTTCCTCGATCCACATATTGGTTTGTCTGGATTTTGCTCCGTAAATTTTCTCCAACGCTATTACCTCTTGCTCTTTGGTCCTAACCTGTTTCAAATACTTTACCTTCAAAAAAAAAAAAAGTACGAAAATTTTCAAGCTATTTTAACGATGAAGTGCTTATGCAACATATATTGGAGACTGGGATGGGAACTATTTGAAATCGAAGGGTTTAACAATTGAAAACTGTTACCATCAAGCCGTTCTAGTATGAAGTTCCAACTTTACATCTCTACTTAGTGTAGCATCATGGATATTAGGACATGAAAATGCTCATGTAGCAATATGAATGATATTATTACAAGGTGCTCGGCTTGTCATTTTGGTTGCCTAAGTATGCAGCTACCTTGTTGCGATAAGTCAAGGCGTTTAGCCAAGGATCTCAACCAAGGGTGTCTATTTGCCTATTTGCCTATTTGCCCAAGCAACGCCTTGACAACTATGATTAAGTCAGTGACCTGCTTGAAGGAGTCTGCACCTTTAACAATGGTTGGAGTCTTCAATGATTATTTTATGGTTGATTTCATCAGAGGATGGGGAGAAATAGTAGCTTCTTCTACACTGAAGTCGGCAGTGCAAGTTATGTGGTTTTCCTAGCCACAATAGAATTAAATTAAACTTTGATGGAAGCTCCCCTAAATTGAGAAGACAGCTGCATGGCTGGGAATTAGCTAACCTGTTAAGACTTGTTTAAGAGGCTATGGAACAAGATTTTGAGACCAGGTTACGATGATGAGACAATGAGTGGTGCTGGAAATGGGAAAAGATGGTCTCTTTTTTGTCAAGTCTTTTGCAAAATCTCTTAGCAGTACTTGCAATACATTGTTCCCCTCTTCTGTTATGTGGAACTCATTACACCCATCCAAGGTGGGTTTCTTGCTATGGTCAGCCATGTTAGAGAAATGCCTCAACAAGACTTCCTGCAATCTAGAGGGATACAGATAGCTGACCAGAACTGTGAACTCTATAACCAATGGAGCATGCTAACCACCTATTTCTGCATTATCAGTTAGCTCATAAAATCTGGCATTATTTTCTTGGTGCTGCAAATCTGCCATGGGTTTTGCCTCGTACGGTGTTGGATCTTCTAAGGGCTTGGCACATTGGTTGTTCTGCCAAGGGGAAGATCTTCTGGCAGCTTATACCTGCAGCTATCATTTAGACAATTTATTTGGGCTTACAGAAACAATAGAATCTTCCCCAGAGATTGAGATGTGTGGAGGAGTCGATCAATGAAGTGATTGGCAGAATTGGTTCCTGGGCATCAGTATCTAGAGATTTTGCTGATTTTCCATTGCCCCATATTTGTAATGGTTCAGTGTTGTGGAATGTTTGATGTCCCTGGAGTGGGCTTTTGTTAGTATGTTGCCCTGCCTATCTGTTCTGCTCCTTGGGTATAGGGGGAATTTTAAGAGATCGTAGGGGAGTGATACTGACACTTTATTCTGGTTTAACTGGAACAACCGATTCATTGACAATAGAGATCTCAGCCCGTTACAAGGATCGTAGGGGAGTGATACTGACACTTTTTTATGCATCCATCTGCTACAATGGGGCTTATGAATGACATGGACCCATGGTGCCGCTTGAACAGATGTTTTCCTTTTTGTTTCTTGTGGATATGTAATGTACAGATTCCTCTCTCTCTTGTACATGAACAGATGTTTTCCTTTTTTTGTAAGGATAATTTCCAATCTTTTTCTGTACCATAGATATGGTATATTTGTGGTTAGGTTTTACCTTAGCCTTTCACTTCTACATGTTTGTCTAATAGATGCTTTTAGTATATTACATACTCATGCAAACAAAGGTAATTTGTAATAATGGAAGAAATTTTGAACCTTTGATCATTACCCAGATAGCTGAGACTAACATTGGGTAATGGCCTTTTTCATGACAATTAGCTTGACCATGTGAATTATGTCAATGCATTTGGTGTGGACAATCATACACTAAAGAAGGAAGAAATAGATCCATATTAATTGTATTCTTATCTGTCTTCTTGATTTTCTACTTGCTTTCTGTTAGTTGTGTGTGTTAATCGAGGAAATTAAGGTTGCTGACTTGCTCATATTGTGAGTAGTAGTTTTAGGTTCCTATATTCCTTATACTTTTTCCTCCTGTTTCTTTTTTCTTTAAGCTGTAGTATGCTTGTTTTCTTCCTCCCATTCTTTTGACTACAAATATACTCTGAAAAGATTACATGGAATGTGAAGCGTTAACTTGTTTTTTTGGGGGGTTTTATAGTATTTTTGTTCTTGGGCATTGTTTTGTGTTTTCTGTAATTTTGGGTGACTGGACACCCATCTAATGAAATGTTAACCTTTTTCTTGCTGATCTAAAGAATGCTACTAGTTCATTTCTTTTCTTTTCAGTGCTGAATCTATTAAATATCCTCTTCTTGCAGTTAATTATTAGAACATTTATGCATAACTGTATGCATAATTTCTATCATTTATCACCTTTCTTATATCCTTGGTTTATGAGTCTTTCTTTGCAGCTATTTGGAGTTCATTGGTGTCCTTTTAGTGGATTCGCTTGAGTTCTTCCTTCATCTTTTGGGTAAGCATGATCTGCTTGTTGTAAGCTTATATTTGGTTATTTTATGCTATACTACTTTTAAGATGAATGTGTGTAAACAACCCTGACTGGAACCAAGGATTTAAATATTGACACAATGCGGGTGTATCGTATCGGTATCGGTTAGTGGTGGTACGAGACATGCTACGAATCAAAATGTGTCCTGTATATCGTTTGTATCGAACCAATATGGATGTGTATCAGCCATATGTACCAATATAGATCAATGCACACGATACTCCGGATATCTATTGTTGATAAAAAGCGGAATACGGTGATTCGAACTTAGGTCACATAAATCTTGTCAATCCTTCACTTTAATTTTAAACCACCAAACCACACTTCGTCTTGTGTTAATTAGTGATATAAAATATATTTTATAACGTTTATATCTACATGCAATTTAAAAGAACACATTTTTATATTTAACTCAAACTATTCAAAGCAATAATATTCAAAAACAGTACTTTATAAACTAATCTGTCAAACCCAAATTTAATAAAATGATGATTTTTAATATCAAGAAATTTATACAAATAAAATATTAATAATAGAATAATTATTTTAAATCTTTAAAATTTATAAATTTGTAGATGSTGTGCATCTTAAAATTTTTATACAAATTATTAATTAATATTTTAATTTACATTAATAAGTAATAATAATATATTTATTATTTACAAAAATTAAAAATATTCTTTACAAAATATTGTAAAATATAATATTAAATAGAGTCTATCAAATCCACTAATCTACATTTATTTCAAAAAAAATGATTTTTTTTATTTCATATAACTTGTATAAATAAAACTATTAATAATAGAAGAATTATTTTAGTAATTAAAAATTATGACTTTGTATATGTTATATCAGAAATTTTAACAAATTTGATATACTTTAAATTAAGATTATATTTTTATAAATTATTAATTGATATTTTAATTTGCATTTGAGAATTTAACATTCATTTGATTTTTTGTTAATGTTAAAAAATTAAAATAGTAAAATAAAAAAATAATTGATATAATAATTAAAATATAATAGGTGCATATGTTTAGTGTCTTGGACTCTAGATTGATGCATTATAAATAAAATTATATGATATCTACGCATCTTGGTGTGCTAATTGTAATATATTTTTTCATATAACCATTAAAATATGTATTTTTATGTATTTAAATACTATTTATGACTATTTTAGTCTTAAATTTAGTGTTATTAATATGTTTGTGAAATCTGTATGTATTTCCTTAGCATATCCATGCATTTCTAAATTGTATTTGTATCCATATTCGTATATGATACGATACCCAATATGTAACTATCTTGTAAACAGTTCCTTGTTTTTATCATTTCTTCATCCCTGTGCAAAAGCTTCTCTATGTGGCATGTATTATGTCTTTGATCTTCAATCTTCATGGTACTCTAAGTATGACTATGATATCCAATGATCATAATTACATCATCCAAATTGAATATACATTTCAACAGTTGGGCTTTTATAGTGCATTGTATTCAGTAGAAGAAAACTTGGCCTTGTGATTTGTAGGTGCACTAGATGGGTTTTGGTGCCATTGAAGGAATTGGATTGAGATGTCCCCCTAGAGACTCATGTTCTACCTCGGTTAATGGGATGTCCACAGGATTTCTTAGAAGCTAAGCATGTCTTGGAGATTCTATCATTAGATTCTTATTTATCCTAATTACTGAAGCTTTTGGTATAATGCTCATTTGAGTACATCCTCTAGCATTCATCCACATCCTTATGATAAGTCCATGTTTCCTCCTAATGCTTTAACACAAGTCCCTTTGGTATGATCCCATAGCCTATTATAATGCCATCTAATCGTTCTTTTATCTATGACACGTAGCACATGATGGGCCCATCTTGAATTTATACCCTAGTTCTTCTGATAACTGTAACCCAAAGACCCTTTAGTTTGACCTCTTACCCCATAATTTGCCAACCTATTGATTTCTATTTTATTCCATTCTTGATCATTGACCCATTAGGATGACCATTCGGTAGTATTATGCCCATCTAGTCGTTTTCCTGTACTCCATCTTGGAGATTTGTTTAATGATCATTTAGTTTGACCCGTAGCCCATAATAGGCCCATTTAGTTGTTTCGTCTTGTAACCTTAGACCAATGTAATTTTGGCTTGATTATTTAGCACAAGATAGGAAATCTAAGTAATTGGTTATATTCAACCCATGATAGGCCCAATTAGTGCTTTGACTCATTCACCGGTTCAACCCAAACCTACTTTCGTAAAAGTCCGTTAAGACATCCTTTGATAGTCTTTTGGATCACCGTGTTTCTAACTGAAACCTAATGTTCACGAAACATGTCTAAGTTATCCTTTGATCCTCCTATTCTCGAAGTTCTCTTAAATAAACTATAGGACCTGTTGAACAGTTCAATTTTAGTCTAAATCCCCTAGATTCATTTGGTCCTACAATATTTGAACAGTCCAGTCATCCTTCGACCATCCTATCCTCCAAACCGTATTTTTTTAAAACTTTTTTAGTCATCCTCTGCACGCCTTACAACCTCCCTATACGCAATTCCAAGCTTAGACCTGGTTCAGTCATGGGGTCCTGTTATGATCCTTTAGTATCCACCAGGTAATAACTTAATAATTATCTTCATCACTTTTTTTTTTCCAAAAATAATATTATAAAAATAACAAGTGATACTTTCCAGTTTGTTTTCTTTGTTAGTAAAGTTTCCCCAAGTTGGTTATCCATTAGTGCCTTAATACAGCTTCAAAAGAAAGCTAGTGCGTGAGTTCCTTGAAATTTATTTGTGAACCTTCTCTTAAGATAAGTGGAAGCCCAACTCATCATGGGGGAACCGGCCGTCAATCTTTAAATCCTAATGTCCGCTCCAAGATGCGGTCTAGATTGGAGTAGTTCTAACTTGAGAAAGTAGAATTGGTTGTTTGATGATCTCACTTAAATCTTATTGTGTTGTGACTAGAGGCTAGTGTAGAGTGTGTAAGAAAGATAAAAAAAAAAGAAGGAAAAAATGGGGACCTAGAAAAAAGCAAAAAAGGGGGGAGAGTGGAGGCCCCGGTTCTTAGTCATGAGTAGGAGTTATTTTGAGAGTTGCAGGAATAGGTTGTTCCATAGGCCTTGATCGGGGAAGGAAAGCCTAAGCCCATGTCATAAACTATAGGACATGTTTAATCCCTTGAAATGTGTGCATCAAGGAAGGGATGCCATCCTTGGCCAGTTGGCCGTTTTTTTATTCCTTTAAATAACCCAAAAGTTATGGTCAATTATTGCTAGTTAGCCCTATGAGCCTTACAATTTTATCCTATCTCTCATCAGCCTTGTAAATCATACCAAGGGGTGGGAATGGATGATGCTTGCGAGAAACTACGTAGGGAGATAATCTTGAGCTAACCCACCAATGCTTGGGAATAGTTGAAATCGTGATTAAGCCTATGAATCAATGGAGGCCATCATTCCTACACTATCATTAACCATTGGCCTATGCATCGAAATGTACACTTGTTACACCATTGGGCCAATTTAAGCCTTTTTCTTTATATCCAGCTCCAGCCCATTTTCTACACGTGCTTTTGTTGGAGAAATGATGAAAATAAATCTCCCGAATGTATAAAAAAGCCCAAAAGAAGACAAGTAGAAGCCCGTGTGAAAGAAGTGATGCCTAAATCAAAGGGAAGGAGTGGACAAAAATATCCTAAAAGATTGTCAAACAAGGGTTAAGTGTGCAAAGGGAAGGAGTGGATAAAAATATCCTAATAGATTGTCAAACAAGGGTTAAGTGCGTAAAAACATTGGAAAAGCTAAAAACAAAAAAGAAAAAGAGAAAAAAATTGAAAAGAAAAGAAAAAAAAAAAGAAAACAAGAAAATGTATGAAGCAGGGCAACAAATATTATTTTGGGAGATAATGAAGTTAATTCCCAACAAGGGCAAAAAAGCATATTGTTTTGAGTTGAATATCGTATTTCATTTGGACCTATAAACTACAACTACAAACACCTTCGCATTCTATTGAAGTCCCTTCCTTAGGCCCAAACACTCTTAGCATAATTAGGGAGGATGGAAAGCGATTTATGAAGTGGTGGAACTCAGGTGTTGTCCATTTGAATTACGTAAGACTTGATTCCTGGAAAATTTGAGAAAATTGACCAGGATACATAGGTAACCTGAAGTGATTCTTGTGTTGTCAACTTATTTGGGTTTTTGAACCAAAGCTACGTTTAATCCTATCTACTAATACCTATTGGAGGTGTGCATGACACGTGGCACTATAGAACCGTTAAATGACATCTCAACACTATCTAAGCAGACTTTAGGAGCACTTCGGACACCTCACACCTGTCTCGACCTCCTCAGCCCCACCTAGGCAGGCTGACCTACAAACAACTTGGAAGATATTAAGTCGACATAAGAGGTGACTTGCCTCCGTTGACGTAACCCGGATTTAGTTACTGACCTATTTGACGCAACAGGCAACCTTTTGGAGAGGGTTATCATCTCCGACTCCCTTGAATCAAGATGCCACGTTGACGAAGTTGATCCCCACCCGCATAGTTTGGAGGCAATCAGATAAGCATTATCAACTTTTGTGGGGTCTATCTTCAAGCGTGAAACCACCTCCGAATCAGACGGGTCGGTGATCTCGGACACGCTTTGTGAACCTCACGGCAATTTGCCTATATAAAGGCATCCCTTCCTTAGAAAAGGTACGCGCGATTTAGCTCTCAAAAAGTCGATTAGCTCTCTTGCTTACTAAAATATTGATCTCTTCGCGTATTTAAGCATCGAAGTGCCCACCCTGGGTAAAGCAACCTGGACATTATGATTTCTTTCTTTGCAAATCAGTTAGGTGACCTACTTAGTTTGGTGACCGAGCTGTTTGTTAGCAGGGAGCACTAGATCGCACAACATTAACTGGTACTGTCTGTGGTGTGGGTACACACTATACAAAAGCCTAGTTCTCATTTGTTTCCCACTCAATGGCTTCTTCAAGTAGCATCCTCGTCAACAATGTTAACAACAACAATATGCACATTGATGTCATTGTCACTGGGGCCAAGACCAACTCGCATTGCACCTAG